GCTTGGAGCTGGATGAGCGCTGTGCTCCTTTGCAACCCAGGCCATGCCGTGATTCTATGATGAAAAGCCAAGTGCTCCCCAGCTAACCCTGCAGAGCTCACTGCATCACAGCCCAAAGCAGTGTGCAGGGAGGGGAGTCAAGCAGATGGTGGGGGCACAGCACACAGGTCTGGCTGTGGGGGAGATGTTCCAGCAGCATGGAAGGAGCCAACACGTAGGTTGGCCCACTGAGAACTGTTACACAAAATAATGGCAAGATAACCAAAAATCCTTTTTTGGGTTATGAAGAATTAGATTTTTGAGGAACAGCACGAGCTGGGAAGCTTCCAGCCACATTCAGAGCTATCTGCTGCAGAAGCTTCGAGCCCAACAAGTAAATGTTATACAGTACACAGCAAAGCCCAGAAGAAAGCACGTGAGTCATCGTGCATTGGGCAACTCCTTGGTGCAGGTACTCTCTGTCTTTACCAACCCACTGATGCCCTTCTTGCTCAAACCTAATGATTCTACAAGGATTCCCATCCCTCCCAGGTGACTCAGCTCCAGAAAGGCAGCAACACAGCAGGCTTGGTTATCTTGAGCAAAGTGAGTAATGTGCTCTTACCTTAAAGCCAAAATAGTTGTAGGAGAAGTCTCTGTCATAGATAATTGCAGAATTCAGGCGCTGAGGGGAAATAAAAGAGAAAAATGGATCTTCTGACTTCTGTGGCCTCGCATTCAGGTCTTACAATGCTGTCATTGTTTGATATTTCCAGCCCCAGAGATCCAGTGAAACAGACACCGCACCAGAGGGAAGGAAGCAGGGAGCAACAGGCAGGTTCAAACAAACACACAGTGTTTGCCATTTCTTTCAAGTACAGGGCACAATTGGTGGCTACACCAAGAAATACAAGATATCATCAAAACAGGAATGCAACTTCCCCAATAAAAACACGAGGCTGGAACAGCTCGAAACGAGACACCAGGCCTCACCTCTCCCTCCTCTGTGCACAAACACATTGCTACATCCCCAAGTGCTGTCTCCCAACTGAAGGCGTTGGGCTCTCACGACAAAGAGGACCTCCAGGAAAGCCCCCCTCCCTGAAGGACATTCTTACACCCTCTTTTAAAATCTCCAGAGCATTTATCATCTGCATTCGTTTCTATACGGGCTTTTCCTCCCCAGACAAATAGGGCAAATAAATCATCTGAACTAGTTCCCTGTATTTCCAAAACTTGGGACTGGGGAAGCGTTACATACGTCCTTGTTGGCCAAAACTATGTCGAGTGTTTCCTTGGAGATCATTGGCGAGTGCTTCCCATTGTGAGGGTTGATGTAGTTGTAGAGATCATCCATCACATCTGCAACAGAAACACATTGAAAAAGAAAGGCGTCTGCAGAGCTGTCTGAACACACATCTGTCATTTGTTTCCAGGGCTTTAGCAGACAGGGCTCCCCATCCTCAGAAGTAATCCCTTCCAGGTCCACACAAACGCATCTTCTCTTCCACCTGCTCAGTGTTAGCACTGATCTGGTGACCCCAGCACTTTCCTAGCAATGCTTTCTATAGGGTTTGTGACACAGAATAAACAGGACAGACAGTGGGTGCATCCTGATTTCAATCAGTTCCACTCCTCGCTGATCTGTTCTCATCTCCACGGCATTTTTAGTTCCTCTGAGTGCTCTGTAACTTCTGCTGAAGGAACATCTGTGTATTTACACCCTCTAAAACCCCTCCTCCCTTTCTGGCTGATTACCATCTGATTACTGATTATCACTGGAACAGGCTGCCCAGGGAGGTGGGGGAGTCTCCTTCTCTGGAGATGTTCAAGACCTGCCTGGATGCCGACCTGTGCAACCTGCTGTAGGGAACTGCTTTGGCAGGAGGGTTGGACTCGATCTCTGGAGGTCCCTTCCAACCCCTACAATTCTGTGATTCTGTGACCATCTAAATGCCCCCAGGCAGACTCACCACTGAACACTTTCTTAGTTTCTTTGTGCAGGTTGGACACTGCAATCCTCGCTGCCAATATCGCATAGTCAGGGTGCTTGGTGGTCAGGGTTGCGGCTGTCTCAGCAGCCAGGGTATCCAGCTCCACGGTCGTGACTCCGCTGTACAGCCCCTGGATCACCTTCATGGTGATCTGGGCCTGGAAAAGGCAAACAATGCAGATCAGCTGCCTGTGAAAACATCCCTTCTGTCGGCCTTTTGGGGTATGAGACACTCTCTGCTCTGAGCAATACTTTTCACACTGCTTAATTAGAAAAGCAAATCAAACCCAGCGAAACACTGGCTCCTAAAACTTTAAACCAAGAGGCAGAGGGGCAGGAGGGAGAGCAGGGAGCGAGCAAAGAGAGCAGAGACCATTAAACCAGAACAAAACCATTAACAAGCTTTTCTAAGCAGACACTTTTCTGAAGGCTGGATTGAAGTACAGCAAAGTTCACCAGACAAACAAAAAACACAAAAAAGCTCAATTTAAAAGAGTGCTTGCTTGGAAGTTTTGAAACTCCAGCTGAAGCTTGACTGTAAAATGCCTGATGAGACGTGGAAGTGATACAGCAAGAGAGAAAAAACCCAGCCCTGCTGGGATATGCTGGCTTTTGCACCGTGTCACAGCCTAAGCTCCACCTGCAGGCTGGGACCCCTCCTGGGAAAAGCACACACTGCTGCAGAGCACAGGAGAGTGCAGAACTGTGTTAAATTAGCTTCACTGTGCAGGTGGGAGCGCTCAGCAGGCACAGGAATCTTGCTCTTGTGCTCATCACCAAATCCTCCCCACAGCAGCCTGCTTTAAGCTTCAGCACTGCTGAGATGAAAACAAATCACCAGCGCTCCTCCTCTCCACCTATGGCTGAAGAGCACCACGCTTGTAGGTACAGAATGCTAATTATCATACAGTTGCAAATTAAGATGCGAAAACAGATCAGTAGATCTCAGAGATGGGAAGAGCCCAAGATGGGCTCCAAACGTAGATGTTTGGTGTAGGTGTGCAGAATCAATCTCAGGGCCATAAATGAGGAGTCATCCCCTGCACGAACTGGGGAAAGGGGAGCTTACGTGGGGGGGATCAAACACAACCCCAAATCCCACACAGCCCAAAAGAACCAGATATTACAGTGATGGGGGGTTCTGACAGACAGGCAGGGCACCTCGTTTTAAGAGAGCTTCAAGGTCTGATTTCCACATAGCATTGCTCAAGTTTTGCAGGTTAAAATTGAGAGCAATCTGCCACAATCGATGTTTGTGAGTCAGAGCGACAAAAAACTCTTTTTAAGCACAAGAAGCTCCATCACTCCAACAGTATTTGGGCCATCTATCCAAGGCAGTTTAGAGCAGGTAAACAGAGACCTTCCCACAGTTCAATCTCATACTTTGTACCTGGTGAAGCAAAAAGCATCAGAACACAAACAGTAAGAAGAAACGCGTTACAAACATATTTGCCAACAGCTCCTGAGCAGGTTGCTGTGCTTGCTTTTTGTGAAGGTGAACAGCAGATAACACCTCCACCTTGCTCACAGCTGTTGGCTTTTGGCAGAGATCACTGCTAGCCCAGAAGGCCAACTGTGTTTTGGGCTGCATGACAAAGGGGTGGCCAGCAGGGAGAGGGAGGTGATCGTCCCCTCCATCGGCTCCTGTGAGGCCCCATCTGCAGCGCTCCGTCCTGCTGGGGCCCCCAGCACAGGAAGGACGGGGAGCTCTGGGAGTCCAGAGGGGCACTGAGATGAGCAGAGGGCTGGAGCAGCTCTGTGTGAGGAAAGGCTGAGGGAACTGGGCTTGTTTGGCTTGGAGAAGAGAAGGCTGCAGGGAGACCTGATGGTGGCCTTCAGTGCTTGAAGGGAGCGGATGAACAGGAGGGGGAACGGCTGTGTGTGAGGGTGGGTGGTGGCAGGACAAGGGGAATGGCTTGAAAGTGAGCCAGGGGAGGTTTGGGTTGGATGTGAGGAGGAAGTTTTGGAGGCAGAGGGTGGTGAGGCAGTGGCACAGGTTGCCCAAGGAAGCTGTGGATGCCCCATCCCTGCAGGCATTGGAGGCCAGGCTGGATGTGGCTCTGGGCAGCCTGGGCTGCTGGTTGGCAACCTGCACACAGCAGGGCTTGGAGCTGGATGAGCGCTGTGCTCCTTT